TTATATATATATCTATCATAGGTGTCATAGTTTTAATTCTTGTGAGCTATTTTAGTGACATTCCTTGCTATCTAGTATCATTTCTAAATACAGAACAAAGGCTGAAATTATGAAATCAGTTCACTGAATTGCAGGGGCAAGCCTGACATTTAGTTAACTAAAAATCACATATATATATATTTCTATGTAATCAAATATACAAGAGAAAGAAATAACCATGCAGTGAGCAGTGCCTTCCTTTCCTCCTGCTCATCACTACTCACTTCCTCTAGGGGCTGTCCTGGTTAGGAGACTGGCAGCAGCCCCAGGCTCTGCCACAGCTACTACCTTAGCATCTGCTATTCAGAAATACTAAGATTTTAAGAGAGGAAAAAGTTAGCAAAGGGGAGGCAACCTAAGTACAACAGCAGGAACAGATGATGAGAAGAACATTCCTGGGCTGTGTTTATCCCAGTTGCCCTATTCACCTGAATTTACTAAGTGCTAAAATGGCTTCCAGGGAATGGAACCATTGAAATTATTGACAACAGAGTATTGAAGGGAGTAGAGGATCACGTATATGCCTAAAAGCATCCATATAAGTTCAAAGTCTAATCCCCAAAATGACATTACATACATATATATATGAAACTAGAAGTGGTCAGCTATGCACACAGTTCAGTTGATAGAGTGTTTGCTTAGCATGCAGGGAGCCCTGGGTTCAATCCCCAGCACCTCATAGTCTGGGTGTGGGAGCAAACACTTGTAATCCTAGCACTTGGGAAATGAAGATCAGAAGCTGAAGGTCACCCTTGGCTACATATCCAGTTTGAGGCCAGCCCAGGCTATATGAGACCCTGTCTCAGAAAAAAAGACTAGAAGTATTATATGCATGTATGCATACATGGACAAAAAAACATTCTGCAACATACCAGACCATATTAGCTACGGTTCTTTTAGCGGGAGAGTAATACGTACATAGCCATAGTCTGAACATTTCTTACAGTGTGATTTTGTATGTTATGTTCCCAGATTTTAAAAATAGACTTGCCACACTGGGTGTGGTAGCACACACCTTCAATCCCAGCACTTGGGAGGCAGAGGCAGGTGGATCTCTGTGAGTTCAAGGCCAGCCTGGTCTACACAGTGAGTTCCAGGACAGCTGGAGCTACAGGGAGACCCTGTCTCAAAAAGACCAAAAAAACAAACAAAAAACACAAACTTGCCCCGCTGGGACACCATGGTGGCAAATGCCTTTAATCCCAGCACTTCAGAGGTAGAGGCAGGCAGATCTCTCTTTTATCCCTATGTGTTGTTTCAATTCCTTAATATGAGAAAAACTAATGGAATTAGCTAAGAGTCTCTAAATAGTTACCTAATACATAAATTTGATTTGCTTTATCCTTTATAATATTTACAATACATATTTTGTCCCCAACTTAAAACTTGAAAGTCTAAATGTACTCACATTTCAGAAGGCTCAGCTAGCATTCCAAACACTGCTGGCTGGTTGACAGCCACAGCACATAGAATTCATAGGAGCACCTGTGTATTTAATTAATTATTGTCATCCTCTGTGATTTTTTTTTGTTTACATTATTTTTTTGAGTCAGGATCTCACTATGAAGCTCAAGCTGGCCTTACACTCACAGTAATCCTCCTGCCTCGACATCTCACATGCTAGAATTACACTATGCCTGGCACTAAGATTTTTTTCTTCAGGAGTTTAATCATTCCCTCAAAAGTCCTATCTATCCAATGGATATATTTAATTATAAATTATATCAGATAGTAAAATTCAACCTACCCCTATTGTGATCATCAAAAATTCTCATTGGCAGAAACCTAATAAACCATATCTCACTGACCATGATCTAAGAATTCATGTATCACTTAAAGTTCATATTAAAATGAAAGAATAAACAAGTCAAAGGTACGAAGGAGCCAGATGTGATGGTGCACTCAGGAGGCAGAGGCAGGCGGATCTCTGTGAGATGGATACCAGCCTGGTCTACATAGTGAGTTCTAGTACAGCTGGGGTACAGGAAGACCCTGTAAAGTTATTAAGGAGAGAGGAGAGTAGCTAAGCGCATTTACCAGGGTGTGAATAATTTCATGTTTCACTGTAGACAACATTCCAATAAATTCCTGCGGCTGGGTAGAGATCATATTTGGACACAGGTTAGCGTATCCTGCTATTGGCCTGTTAAAATAAACATTACATTTTTATTATATTCCAGAACAATATTTATTTTATTTGCTAACCTATACTTCACTATGAAAAACTGCTCAATAGGAAAATGTTTATTATTAAATACAATTTTATAGCTAATTCTATCTTTTACTATTAAGATGTGTATCCTTTGCTTTCTGATGGCATCAAAAGTCCACACACTTGTGTTTTGGAGGGACGTGGGGGTTTGAGTTTTTTTTTTTTTTGCTTGTTGAGGCTATGGTTTCTCACAGCCCATGCTGGCCACAAACTCATTATATAGCCAAGACTGGCCTTGAACTTCTAATCCTGATACTTCCACCTCCCAAGTGCTAGGATTACAGGCTTGTGTCACAATGCTCAGTGCAACACCTGTTTTGACCAAAGGATATAGTATCTTGATCGCATTTTAGTGTAAATTAAAATACCAATATAATGTTAGGCATGGTGGTACATGCCTATAATCCCAGCACTTGGGCAGCACAGGCAGGCAGATTTCTATGAGTTCCAGGCCAGCTGTGGCTACAAGAATACCCTGTGTCAAAAAGACCAAAAAAACCTGAAATTCCAAATTCCATTATTATGTTACTTGTAAAATTTAATTTGATTTTCAGCACTATATTTTTAGGCACAGAGAAAAGTAGGTAGAAAGATAGGCCAGAGAGATGGCATAGTGGTTAAGAGAGCTTACCACTCTAATTTTAGAGGACCGGAGTTCAGTTCTCAGTACTCATGCTGAGCAGCTCTCAACCACCTGTAAGTCTAGTTCCAGGGGATGCAACACCCTCTTCTGGTTTCTTTGGGGGCGTTCACACACATATACCCACACCCAGATACACATACATATAAATAAAAATATTTTTCTAAAATGTAGGTAGAAAAGACATTGATAGGACAATACACAAACTGAGTTGCTGAAAAGTGCTGACCTCTCTAACCTCCATTTCACCCTAGTCCTATTCTATCACTGTCTACATTCACATGGGTTTCTACTTTCTCAACATCACCTTTCAAGTACTATACCTTACAGTCTAGAAAATTCTACATCTCTTTGTACCTACAATCTTGAGTATGAAGTGAGTTCCACCACGTACCCGGCTGTCTTTCAAAAGCTGTGGCTAAGAGACTATGTAAAGGAATCTGAAGTTCTTTCTTCTACCCTTTAAGAATTAAAAATATAAATTTCGCTAAATTGTCTTCTCGCAAACATTTGAATGATCATTTAAATGAAAAAGAGTACGTTTCCTGATAGTATCAGACTTAAATACTTTGAAAAAAGTCTATCAACAACTTACCAAAACATTGCCACAAGAACAGGGATACTGATACACACCTCTAATACCAGAACTCAGGAAGCTGAGGCAGAATCGAGACCTTCAGGGCAGCTTGAACTCTACAGCAAGAGCTCATCTCCATAAAAACACTACCACAGTAACTTCTAAAATATACAATGTCACTGCCTCGCTTAAACACCCTTTAGGACCTCTTCAAGCTCTGGTTCTCCAACAGTGTCACTGAAGAAACTATCCCACCTCCCACAGGACTGAACCAAGGGCTTTGCAGTCTCTAGGCAAGTGCTTTACCACTGAGCTATATATATCCCCAGTCCTATTTCACTATTGTGTGCATTAAGATTTTATTACTAGACACTTACAGCTTGACTTTGGGGGGGGATAATTTTTAATTTGTAATAAAAGTTGACAGTGTGAAGTTAAAAATCTCAGTTTGACTAGATATTAAAAATTTTTAAACTTTTAAAGTTGTATTGAGAAAAACCAGGCTTTAAAGTTTGTCATTGTCAAAAAGACACATCCTTAGGTAAAATAAAAACCTACGCTGCTTAGACAACGTGGGTGGTTCTAACACGTCTACTCAACTGGCAAAAAGCAAGGCACAAGGTCTTCCCACGAACATTTGGGGGGGGTCTTTTTGGGATAGGGTCTCCCTGTAGCCTCAGCTAACCTGGAACTCCCTATGCAGACCATAGGGAATTCCCTATGCCGGCCTCAAACCCAGAGATCCGCCTGCCTCTGCCTCCAGAGTGCTGGGACCAAAGTCACGCACCAGCACGCCCAGCCACCCTCCCTTCCCCTCCCTTTCATTCTTGGCTCCTCTCTCCTTCTCTTTTCCTCCCCCTCCCCTTTTGTCCTTTTCTTCCCTTCCCCTCCCTCCCAATCATTACCCGTTCCCTTTTCTTTCTACCCTTCTTCCCTCCCTCCCTCCCTCCTTTGGTTCTTCTCTCCCCTTCCCTTATCTTTCGCCCCTCCGTGGACCCTTCTGTCCTTTCTTCCATCCCTTGCTCCCTTTTCTCCTTCTGCCGTCTTCCTTCCCTCCCTCCCTTCATCTTTTTCCCTCTTCCCTCTGTAGTCCTTCCTCCCCTTTGTCTTTTTTCTTCCCTCCCTCTCCTTTAGTTTTCTTCCCTTTGTTTTACTTCTTCCCTCCCCCGGCTGCTGTCTTTCTCTTCATCCATGTCTTTCCCTCCCTCCCCTCCATCTTTCTCCTCCTTTGTTTTTCCCTCATTTGTCTTTCCTCCCCCTTTGTCCTTCTCCCTCCCTTCCCTTTGTCATCCCTCTCCTTTCCCTCCCCTCCCTTTGTCTTCTCCCTCCTTTCCACCCCTCACTTTTTCCCTCCCTCCCTTTCCTTCTTCCCTCCCTCCTTCCCCTTGTCCTTTTTCCCTCCCTCCCTTTCTCTTCCCACCCTCCTTTTGTCTTCCCTCCCTCCCTCCTTCCCCTTGTCCTTTTTCCCTTCCACCTGTCTTTGTCCCTTCCTGTTTCTTCCCTCCCTCCCTCCCTTTTTCTTCCTTCCTCTTGTTTTACTTCTTCCCTCCTCCTGGCTTCCCTCCCTTCCCTCCTCCCTCCCCTTCATCTTTCTACCCTCTTTCTCTTCCCTCTGTTTCTTCTCTCCCTCCCTTTATCTTCCTTCTGTTTTCCTTCTTCCGTCCCTCCCTCCATCCCTTTGTCCTCCTCCCCTTCCCTTTGTCTTTTTTCCTCTCTTCAGTTTTCCTCCTTCCCTTTCCCTTGTCTTTCCCCCTCCCTCTCCTGTCTTTTTCCTTCCCTTTTGTTTCTTCCCTCCCTTCCTCCCTCCCTCTTTCTTCCCTCCCTTCCTCCCTCCCTCTTTCTTCCCTCCCCTCCTTTCTCACTTCATTTCTTTGTCCATCTTTCTTCACTCCCTTCCTTTTTATTCCGTCCTCCCCTTCCCTTCCCTCCCTCTTTTTCTTCTTTCCTCTCTTTCTCTTTTTCACTTTCCTTCATTAGGGCATCACTGTACAGTCTTGGGTGGCCTGGAACTCAACAACATAGACCAGGATGGCCTTGAACTTGGAGATCTACTTGCCTCTACCCCCCACCCCAAGTGCCAAGTTTAAAGTTGAGAGCCAACATATCAGACTGTTTTTGTTTTGAGACAGGATCTTACGAAAATGTACAGGCTAAGCCCAGCATATTGGTGCCTACATATAACTCCACCACCCAGGAAGCAGGAGGAGGATCATTTTGAGTTTGATGTCAGCCTGATGGTCCACATGGTGAGTTCCATACCAGCCAGGGAGACAATGGAGATACGTCTCAATTTTTTTTTTTTTTTTTAAATGCTAGCCTCAAACTTGCCATCCTCCTGCTCTCATCCCTCAAGTAGCTATGATGACAGGCATAAGCCACCACTCCTGGCAGTTCTTCTAGCTCTTTATAAGGCTAACCCTATCAATGTTCAGGCCACAGCTAAAATTTAATACTTCAAGAGGCTTTCCTTCACAAGCTTATTGAAGTGATATGGCATCCTTTGTTCTTTCTTACGTTAGAAAATACTGTACAATGTACATATACTCTCTAATTGAGAACCAAAATAAGCCCTTCCTTAAGTTGCTTTTGTCAGGCACATATTCTGTTGACAATGAGAGAAAGAAACTAATATTGAAAATTGGTACTATGGGAGCCAGGACGTTGGAGATGCTGGACTGTGGAACATCTGCTGAGGAAAACCGCAGGCATAGGGTAGAGCCTGCCTAGGAGAGGGGCCCGTGTGCTGTAGGCTGAAGAAATGGAGGGAGGAGCTGCTTAGCAGGAAAGGCATTAGTCACACAAGCCTGATGTCCGAGGATTCTCAGAATCCACATATAAAGCCAGACGTAGTGGCACACATTTCATAATAAAGCTGATTTTGACTTCCTTATTAGAACCTTCTTCAAAATTGACAGTACAAGGGGGCTTCATAGCACATTTCTGTAATCCCAGCAATTGAGAGGCTGAGGCAAGAGAATCACAAGTTCAAGGCCAGCCTGGGCTACATAGCAATATCCTGTCTTAAAAGAAACTTGACAATTCTGAACATGTTATCCATGCTTCCTTTGTATTTTCTACTTGATTCAACTTAATAGTTTCAATTTTTCCATAAATAAATGACATTTTAGTAGAAGAGAAACAGCTCTTTAAAGTCAACAAGTCTTTTGACAGGTAAGTGGATGCAATAGTCCTGAAATACACATGAATTAATCATGCTAACTTTTATACCTGAGACTATAAAATAATCTATTCTAAGTCCTGTGGCAGTTACTACTGCCTTTAACTGGTTTATCTGGTGTGTGCCAGGCAATCTTTTGCACAAATTATCAATTTTTATTGACTTAATCTGTAAGAAAGGTGTGAAGTTGGTAGGTAATAAAAAGAAAACACTAGAATTTATATGCTTAAAGTGTAAGATGTTACACATAAAACTTATTCTAAATTGTTTCCTGGGGCTGGGGAGCTAATTCAGTGGTTAAGAGCACTTGATGCGCTTACAGAGGACCTAAGTTTAGTTCCTAGCTCCTACATGGAGAGGCTCACAAATGCCAGCATGTCCAGTTCCAGGGATTCTGATGCCCTCTTCTGGCCTCCTAGGGCACTAGGCATACATGTGGCACACATACATACATGTAGGCACTGCACTCACACATACACATAAAAATGTAAAAAATATTTTTCTTTGGAGTTTTTAGCCAGAGGAAAAATCCACAGAAAATTTTTTTTTTTTTTTTTGGTCTTTTTGAGGCAGGGTTTCCCTGTAGCACCAGCTGGCCTGGAACTCACAGAAATCCACCTGCCTCTACCTCTGCTGGAATTAAAGGTATGGGCCATCATGCCCACCCCACTGCTTTTCCTTTAATGCTAACAATTTTTATCATAAGACGAACAGTCTCAACTCCCCAATCCAGGCAGCATGCTATTTCTTTTTTTAAAATATATTTTATTATTTTTATTTCATGTGTATGCGTATTTTCTGCATGCATGTAAGTGCACTCATGTCATGCAATGTGCACAGAGTCAGAAGAGGGCATCAGATCCCCTGAAACTGGAGGTATGCACAGCCATGTGGGTGCTGGGATTTGAACCTGGGTCTTCTGCAAGAACAGCCAGTGCTCCTTCCTAACTGCTGAGCCATCTCCCCAGCATGCTATTTCTTACTACTAGAGGTAATTTGGCAAATGTAAACTTCCTGTTGACAGAACGTTTAAGCTTCTCTAGGGAAAGACATAAATCCTTTGAAGTAGCTAACTGGCCCTAAATAGGCAGGCTGGGCTTGCTCAAGCCTTGTCAACTGGTCACTCCCTGGACTGAGCAAGACTGTTTATGGAGTCAACCTGTCTCCTTTAGTGCCCTAAGATAGCTCACCTGACTGAGAAAATAATCTTAGGAGAGAGACCCTCAAGGATACCAGACCTGGCAGAGTTAACTCTTGTAGCCATGTGCAACAGAATTCCTACAAAAGTAAAAAATTCCCCTCCCTTCAATGCAGATGCCTTCTTTGTTCTAGAAGGCTCTGTCCTCCACTGTGTTGTCTGAATAAAGAGGAAACATTCCTTGCCTGTTGGAAGTCTGGCTCTGGCTCTTATTTCTAAACTCTAAAGTCCTTCCTTTTTCTCCTCTTCTAGACCTAACACCTGCAATCGTTCACTTAAAATATCTTGGGAAATCCATCTCACAGGAATGCTCACCTGTCCATTTTTGCTTCCTGTTGACAATAGGCTGCATAAGAGATGATGTTTTCACGGCTGCATCTCTCGGTAGCCAGGGCACCAACGTAAAGAACAAAGTCTGCATCCTGGACACCCTGTTGGTCCAGCACACCCACTGCTCCACACGGCCACTTACCCCCTTGACAGACCCGGCATTGCTGCACCCATGGGTGAGAGAGAAGAGGACCAGAGACAGGGTTAGCTGCAGTGGCAGTCTCATAGCAAATACAGAATGTACATGCCCACCGCTTAATTGTTATTATCCTTTTTTTTTTTAACTTTTACAAAATTTTGAGAATTTCATACATGCATATAAAGTGTTTTGATCAAATCCATGCCCCCTCCCTCCCTTCCAATACCTCCCATATCTCCGCATCACTTTTTTTTTCTTTCATATTTATTTTTATGGGGCTTTTGGGTACTCTAACATTCCCCCCTCTGAAGAGGTAAATCTTTTAAGGATTAGATACAAGCTCCCAAATACTTTTGACAATTTTGGCCTTTGGAACAGAGTATGTTGCTAACAGGCCCAAGGACATTTTGACTTTTAGCCAAGAAACTGACTACTTTTCTTTGGGGTCTTTTTACCCTAACTGCCTAGCCAATTCCCACCTCCTATTCTTATCACACCATCCTCTGAAGAGGTTGCCCAAATTGCCAATAGGGAATAGGGATGCAGACCACTCTGGCTTCTTCCATGCTGAACAGGGATGCAGGGTGAGGCAATTGGAGTACCCCTTCAGTGGGTCTATCTAAAAGACTCCCAAATTTCATAACTCTTATCTCTAAGGGGAAAAGAAAGTCCTTGAACAGTGAACAGGAGGTGTGAAGGAGAAATAAAGGCAAGAGTTATTATCATTACAAGTTCTAGACAGGGAACTAGAAAAAAGTCAGAACAGGGCCATTTTCAAATGTTCATTTGAGAATCCATTGGAATTTCTTGACAAGAGCTTCCAAAAGCATCCCTCTATTGGGTTCCTCCTCATTTTTCTTTTGTCTGCCAAGGCTGGATTTTGGAATGATGGACTCAGGATTTGTTTTCAGGCATTTTGATAGCTGTTCGAGTGGCTAGAATCATTGTAGGTTCCTTCTCAAAGGCTTCTAG